AGGTGAGCTACATCCCCAGTCCCCAGCCTTTGTTTTGATGTAAAAATTGAGCAATACCACAAAAAAAAAAAAAAAAAAAAAAAAAAAACCCACCTCATATTGCCAAGCTAAAATAAGCAGGTTGTGTATCAGTTGAATACAAACTGCCCTCCAAATGCCCACGATGACCCCCAGGGAAGAGAGTGGGGCCAATGGCTTTCTTGAGCCTTCTGTTTCACAGAGAACATCCTCCCAGAAGTCTTTTGTCTGTTTGTTCCTTGGCATGCATTCCATGAGAGTCACTGATTATTCTAAACGTTGTGCCTAAAGGCCTTTTGATAAGCTGAGACTGAGACCCATAACACAGAGGAACTCATCCTGACCAGCCACCAGAGTGCTGTCCACTCTGGTTTCCTGTGATACCTGACTCCATGAGTTCCTGGTCACATCCCCAGCTATCAGTGCTCTTCCTGCAGATTTGCAAGACTGTTTGAGCTTGCTGAACCATCACTAAGCACTGGCCATTCACCTAATTAATGTCAATGGAGCTCGTGTTTTCCTGTCTTTAATGACTTCCTCAGTTCTGTTATACTCTTTATGCCAGGCAGATGTGGAAGTCTCCACATACCAACCGTCTTGCAGTTGGTGCCTGTTTTTCTGAGATCCTATAGGAATTCCTCCCCTCCTTTTAGATCCCACTCCCCTTCCCCAGGATCACAGCATCTTCAGGTGAGCCTGCTGTAATCCTAAGATTGTCTCTGCAAGAGCAAGGAGGTACAGAGCACCCTTGGTACCCCAGCTTCCTTATGGGTCCTCAGGGACAAGGGGGATTGGTATACTGACAGCGGTTGGCCCCACTGCTAACACCTCCTTCTCTTCTTCTGTCTCTGGTTGTGATCTGTGTATGCCACGACAGTGCGAAGGACCCTGAAGAGCGGCCTGACTCCAGAAGAAGCCAGAGCCCTGGGCCTGGTTGGCACTTCTGAGCTGCAGCTGTGATCCTCGGGCACCTGCAGGAGTATACTGAGCAGAGGACCAGCTCGTTACTGGACAGAAACCCACCAGTGGGGTGGAGGGGACTTGACTCTAACATCCAATGGTTCTGAAAGGAAGCAATCTCCTGTTACCTTGTGGCTTTTGTTGCCTGCTACACATAGACATGGATCTCCAGAAATCTCCTGCACGAACGTTTTTCATCGTGTCAGCTGTGTTTCTCTTTTTTCCTTAACACCTGGTTTGTTAGTTCCAAAGTGTGATACTTTTTCTGGGCAAAAAGAATGGCCCTTTTAAGGAACAAATCACTTCTGTCACAGTTATTATGGTAATACGAGGCAATCTGATTAGATTCACATACTGGATTTCCACAACACCAAAATATCCAGATGTAAACTCCAATCTTGTACTTAAAAAGAAAGCACAGATTGTTTACCAGTTGTGGATTTTAGATGTACTAAATATTTATACGAATTCATAAATGTACACCATGTTTCAAATACTAAATAAATAGAGTTTAAAGCCATATGTGCAAGTTTTATTCTTTTAGGTGTGGGAACTAAAACAGCTGTGCAAGCTCACCTCCTTTTCAAGGCCTCTTCCAGGGGCATCAGAAACACCTTTTCTTGGAAGGACTTACGAGCCTTTGGGTTGTATTTTTCTGTGAGAATGAGAATAGTGCCGCAGTCTGCTCTTGGGAATTCTTGGTTTATTTAGGCATCGGCTTTTGTTGCAGGATATACTAGCTGTTATTACCTAATACACGGCATTCCTTACCCATAGGCTTGCTGTGATGCAAAACATAGAGGAGCTTTTCACACATCTGAACTACTCTGCACTGATTTATCTTTTATAGAAAAATTCATCTCGGATAATCCTAAATCACCAAAATCAAGCAGAAATGTAAAGTTTTGTCCACAGAGAACCACAGAATTGCACATTGAGTACACAGCTCTCAGGTACTGATGATCAAGAGCTACAGCACCCAAAGGGAAAGGCGGTGGGAATTCAGGGCTCTCAGCAATCACACAGGAATGCCGAGGGACTGGTGCCTCACAGAACTGAGCCCTCCCCAGGACCCCTTGGCCTGAGGTCACCTTGCTCCCCAGGAAGAACCTCCGCCTTCAAAAACAGGGAAAGGTAAAATCACAGGAGGTATTTTGGGAAGTCAGATTATTTCATCTTTGCTTCACTGGGGTATGTGACTTATAGACAACATGCAGAGGACCTAAAAAGCCAGAGATAAAATATACTATGGGACCCTGCTTGAAAGAAGGAGGCATTTGTCAAATGATACCTGAAGGAGGTGAGTACCCCAGAAGAGCCTGAAGAGTTATATTTGTGGATCACAGACCACTAGTTTTATTTAATCACAGTTGAAAATGATATATATTAATATTCATTTCCCTTCTGGTTGTAAATAACATGTAATATTCCATACATAGTTTAGTGGTTTGTGAGGGGAATCTGTTTGTTGCCTTGGTACTGAATACAGATATGTACTATCTGTAGCACATGGGATACTGATGGACAAACAAAAGAAACTGAATTTTGTCACATTGTTTAGTGAACAAATAATCTGGTGCCCTTCTAGAGGCTGTTGGTGTTCTGAGAGTTGTTGTTTTAAAATAAAGAGTTCACATTTGGAAGGAAATGAATGACTGAATCTAATGTTAATTTAATTTTAGGGATCAAAGATGTCTCAGATTCAAGCAAGGTTAATAAATTTATTGCTTACAGCTAGGTAAGGAGGGTCTCATATTGGGAATGACATTCTGAATGCTCTCTCTGTAGTATGGAAATAATGTAAGGCAGACATTCCCTAGTGTGTGGCTTGGACTCCCCTGAATGTAACAAGAGCTACTGATATCTCTGTCACTTTCCTAGGAATTGTGATCAGTTTATCTAGAGTGTGGCCTGGACTTTGGAATGTTTAAAAGATCATTGTGTTTCTAATATAAAGATGAATTAGGAAGCAATGGAATCACAAAGGTGTTTCTCTCTCTCTCTACTTACGGTTGAAGACTGAACATGGTATTTTTCAGAGCTTCGCAAAACCAAACATTATTCCTGAAGGTAGAACTGGTTCTTAATCACTACTGTCTAAAATAAAGGATGACAGAGATTGTCTCCTGCTATTACTCAGGAATAGCAGAGGACCTGCAATCCCAAATATACTTGATATGGTGAACTACAAATACACCTGATGAGTTAGGAGCAAGGGGAAGCTTTTAAAGACAAAAGACAGAAATTAATGTAAGTTGTTTTAAAACAGACATGATTACAGGAGCTTACTTCAGGAGCTGTTGTCAGTTTGTCTATTGGGCAGGTGTTCTTGTATGCACACAGCTAATTATTTTTCTGTGGCTATCTGTCCTTGTGCAACTCATGTAGCAAGTTGTAGGGCTCAGAAAAAAATTCCTGTGGGCTTTTTTTATTTAGCCAAAGCATGTCAATGTGCTCATTCATGGCCTTTTGGGTTCACTTGTTTAGGGTTAGATATAAGTGTCTTAATTTTGGTATTGATAACTTTCACTCTGTTGAGGAACAGATCAAGCAGGTCATGTTTGAACAAAGACTTCTGCACACTGGGTGTCTAGAAAACTATCCTTATCTTCTATCTTAAAAGCTAGGCAGAAACAAGCTAGTCCCTTACTAAACATTTCTTATGTCCAGTAACATGGGAGGAACACAGGCGGTGATTTAAGAAGCCAGCTCTTGCCATAATGTTGTCTTTTATTTACCCAGAGAAATGCCTCCTACTTCAGTGGCAGGAAGACTTCCTATGGGGAACAAACCCTGACATTGTGGACAAACTCAGAGAGTAATGGGAACCCTGCTTTCTGGGTGAATGTAAAACCTTCTGTTCTGAATTCTCCTTCCCACGGGGCTGTAGAATTCTGTGGAGGGAAGATCCATCGAAAAGGCCTGGAAGAGTCTGGACACAATTAGTCTGCATCTTTAAACTTGATTGGTTTTGTAATTTTTAGAAAGTAAAATTGGAGGATATTTATGTTGCTTATTTCCTTTTTCTTTGTTGCCACTTACCCTGGGTGTTTCTGTTAGTGATTTTTACTCAGGATATTAAATTTCTCTAAAAGAACTTTGTGAAGCATTAATATGAATGGTACCTTACATTTCAGAGTGCTATTGCTAATCTTTTTGTTCAAATTACATAGATATTCTTGTGTTTATGTCTTTATATGGGCGCTGATAAATAAAGGCAGGCACTTTCCTGTCAAAAATGCTGGGCTTTCATTTCCTTGAAATCTTAAGTTTTTTTTCTGTTTAAAAAATAACTTATTCTGCTGGGTGTGGTGGCACATGCCTGTAATCCCAGCCGTGGGGAGGCTGAGGCAGGTGGATAGGTGAGTTTGAGGCCAGCAAGGATGACATAGTGAATTCAAGGCTGAACTACATGATGAGACCCTGTCTCAAAAAACACAGAAGCTCACAAAAACTTATTCTAAGGGATATGGGGATGGAGGAAGAGGGGTGCATAGGGCCTTATAGGGTGAAAGACTCAGTTTTCTTCCAAGTTCACTGCTGAAAGTGTGAGAACAGCAGAGGCCAGATAGTAGACGACTTGGTTCCCAGGCTCCTGATTTTTGTTGGCTCTGTATCATCTATGGTTCCTGAACTCACTGTTTTGTGCTCATGGCCTGAAATGGTATGCCATCAAGTTCCACTGTAATATGCTGAATACTGATCACCCAAAGACACCAGGTTCTAATCCTAGGAGTCTGTAATTGTTACCTTAGAAAGAGAGGCCTTTGTAGAAGTGATTATTTTGAGGCTGTTATTATAGGAAAATCATCACGGACTGTCTGGGTATGTCCTAAACCCAATTATAAGTATCCTGAAAAGGGAGAAGTAGAGCAGGATTTCGTGAACACGAAAGAAGAGGGGTTAAGTGAAAGTAGAAGAGGAAATTTTTGTTGTTTTAAGCCACTAAGTTTGTGGTATTTTGTTTGTGGAAGTCTCTCTTAGTTTGTTCATTGCTGGGACAAATACCCAACACTCCAAACTTGCAAGGAGGAGAGGTTTATTTTGGCTTGTAGTTACATTGAGTGGTTGGCTGGCTCTAAGGCAGACATGGCATAGCCGGGAAGGCAGCTCACATCTCATGGTGGCCAGGAAGCAGGGTGAGGAGGGAGGAGCCAGGAAGGGAGATCCGTACTTGCAGCCCAGCCCCCCAGACCAGACCCCACCTCCTCACAGTGAGTTAGCTATGTTGCCTCCATGGTGTACACACCTTCCAAAAGCCCTACCTATGAGTGCATGAAACCTCTGCAGGTCATTTTTTATTCAAGCAATAATGTAGTTCTAAGAAGCTACACAACCACAATAAATAAGCTCTGAGAGCCAATAAAGGAGGAAATTGTGCCAAGCCTGGGAAGTCAGCTGGGAAAAAGACAGCCATGATCCCTTAGGGAAGATTACCAGGAGCTAGCGGAGGTAGTAATCATCTAAAATTTTTTTTTTTTTTTTTTTTTGGTATCGAGGTACCAGGAATCAAACTCACAACCTTGTACTTGCCAGGCAGGCACTGTGCCACTGAGCTGTATTCCTGGCCCTCATCTAAATTTTAAAGATTAAAAACTTATCACCCATTCTGCATCTATTTCTGGTTTTCTGGTTTGTTATCAGAAAATATTTTATCAGAGAGGCAAGTAGAAACAGAAACACCAATTGCCTAAAGGTTGAAATGTCTGGAGTTACAATGAAGGTTTGTGTTAAAACACGTAAATTTTGTTGAAAAAAATATTTGGTAGAAAAATCAGTTCTTGGCTAGGTAACTCCAAGTGACTTCAGAATAGTTAAAATATTTATCAAAAGTGTATCTTTGTGAACATTTGATGTGTATTATTTAATAGAGTCCTTATGGTCATTCTACATTTTCATTTAAAGAAATTGAATGAGACAGATTTCCCTAAGGTCATAGAATGGAAAGTGACGTATCTTGGCTTGTTGCAGTAGTGGTGAGAATGAACCAGGGTGAACCTGGTTTGCCTTGTTGATTTGTTTCTACCATGTCACCCTCTGGCTGCTCCACACTACTTTGACCCTTACTATGGGAAGGCCTGCTCCCAATCCAGGTGGGGCAAACTGGCTGGACATTGAAAACATCCAGCTAAGTATCTGAATCATTTTGCTTCCTATGTATGTCAAGAATTGATACTGGACAAGGCATGGGTGCTAGGTGCTATAGGAAGCATAAGAATGTATAAAGACCCTATTTCCAAAACCACAAATGAGGATCTGATAAAGGTTTTCAAGTCGCAGCCCGTAAGCATGGCATGAGGCAGTCTTGGTGATACTTTGATGTCAAAACATCTTAACTGATAATGTATTTCATTATGGCATCTGACAGAGACAGTCTGTGAACTGAACTAAGGTATTTCTGCCTCCAGAATAAAGCAGTGGCCCTGTCTTCCCAACTTGTATAAACGTTTACACAGCATCTTCACAACTTATTAATTTTGCTTTTTTTATTTGTCCTGAAGTATGAGGCAGCTTTAATTTAGTATAAAATTATATGTACCTGACCCTTTTTAATAGTTCATAGAATTCCACACCAAGTAGGATGGCTTTCTAGAGTAACAGACTCCAACATAACAGTGATTGAAGTCATACAAGAAACAAGATAAGATGACCAAAGTTAACCAAGTGGTACTGACATGAAGTACTCACAGCAGGCTCTCCCTGTGGGCTGGAGCTTCATGGAGCTGTGAGGTAGAGGTAAATTAAAGGTGAACCTCAGAAGGAAACTACAGGTGTAAAGGAGCAAGAAAACCCAGTTGGTGTTCTGGAAAAGAAGGGAATGTCTGAGAAGAGTAGAGCTGGATGGGTCATGTAGAAAGTAATTGCAAACAAAGTTTGGAATCACATCATAAAGGAAGAATGGATAACGTTAACACTACATTTTCTGAGTTCTTATGTATTGGCTCATGTAGTGGCCACAATGAACTCCATAATAGAGGCTGTGTATTTTACAAGAGAATGCTTGGCTGAAAAACAATTTGTTAGCTTAAGCCAAAGGAAGAAATTCATCACAGAATACTATGGGAAATAGCACAGGTAACACAGATAGTTCCCCACCTGGAGTCCAGTCAATTGTAATGAAACGGCCAGAGTTATACTGTACAAATAATGCTGCCAAGGACCCTATACAGTATGTGAGTGGCTATTATTTTGGTTACATTATAACCTCTAGTGCAACTGTGAAAATCTAAAGCAAATATAGCTCAAAATCCAGTACACTGGAGCTAATTTTGAAAAATCAAAATAAAGTTGAAGGACTTAAGTATATAGACAAAACATGATTGGCCATGAGTTGAAAACTTGAAATTGGATGATGGATACAGGGGATTAATTATACTCTTATACTCATCTTTGTGTTTAATTAAAAGCTTAGAAAAAATACATCATGTAGAAATTTTAAAAAGGTCACTTGGTCTTTCTATGCCAGTCATTATATAAGACTTACTGGATTAAAAGTTTTGAATTCTCTATGAAATAAAAGGCACAACTATCTGATACTCTAGCAAATTTTGGACTTGATAAGCACCACTGTCATCATTAGTTGATTAAAATTCCTGGTACCTGGAACTGTTCCTGGCAATTTTAAGTTAGTAGGTCTGGTGTGGGATCTGGGCATCTGAGTCCAGTGCCACTGCTCCATGTTTGGAAGTTTTAAGAGCACAGCCATAAGGAATCAATTCTACGGGCTGTCACATGCAAGCTTTGACTTTTCATTCCTATCTTTGGCTTGATTACCTCCCTGCAAGCTGAATGATGACAGTGTTTTATGTACAATCTTAATGAGATCAACACATTGTGAAACACTCTGCCACTGATTCTCTTTGTAATTCCAACATAGTGTCTATGGAGCCCACTTCTGTTGCTTTAGTTACCAAACAAATCTCACGGGGTTTCTTCCCCAGGCCACTCATTTGACTCCCATGTTGTTACAACTTTTGCCAAAAGCACAGGGCCAGCTTCACAGGTGGGTGACCCCATGCAGTTACAAAGGGCTGCGCACTTGGGGGGCCTCCCATTGATTCATTGCTCTGTCAGAGTACTAGAACTCAATTTTATCCTTGCATTTATGTTCTGTAAGTCACAGACATGAGCACAGGACATGTGTATCCACTGTTTCTGAGTGTTCCATGCATTACAGCTTTTGTGAGCGTCAGAATCCACTGGACCCATGATGTGGCAGAGGTCAGTCAAGATCAGTACAAGGCAAACATGTTATGCCTCTAACTGAATACATGCTGTACTGAGCCCATTCAGAAGCAAGGCACCTTCTAGAAAGGCAAAACATTGAGGAACCCTATCCTATCATTTCTTACTCATTTTATTTTTCTGTATTAGCCAACTACTAATGCTGAAAAGAACAGCACAGAAGAAAAAGAAAACAGGGCAGTCCATACATCTTTTTGTTTTTAGTCTTTTCTTACCCAACAATAAACTAGAAGTTGGGTAGATTGGTAAGATATACACACATCAAAAGGTGAAATAACAGCTAATCAAATTTAGTGCAAGTTTTCTACTATTCTAGTAAGAATCAAATACACAGGCATACTGTATGCATACATAAGCTATAAAGTATAAACTGTATAATCCTGGTGATGTTGCACGAGTTAATGCATTTATATTTTTAAACAAACTGCACAATGGTAAAATGCATTTAATAATATAAAAAAATTCAAGTTTTCTCTGCTTAAAAGTTTTACGTAGCAAGCAGAAAACCTTGCCATGAGTAACTATAAAACAGACCATAGAAGAAAGAACATTTTAGTACTTTTAGTGGTACTGTTTTTGTGTTACTATTTTGTTGTTTTGGAATCAGGGATCAAACTCATGACCTTGCTCTTGCCAGGCAGGCATTTGTGACACTGAGCTAAATCCTTAGCCTTTTTTTTTTTTTTAAAAAAAGATAGGGGGGATCTCATTATGTTGCCTAGTCTGGGTTTCCAATTGTGATCCTCCCCAGCAACCTCCATTACAGGTATATGCCACTACATTGAACTGTTTTCCTGTTTTTGTACAAGAGGCCCACATCTTCAATTTTGCTGAGTTCTGTGTACTTTGAAATTGGCCCTGCTTTTCGAGGCTCTGTTCCTTGAGGCAGATCTCTAGCCTGGCCTGATAGTCTTGTGAGGACTCCTGCTGATTATCACTGTTCTAATGGGAACCATTGCTCTCCTGCTTCACTTGTGGACTCCAGAACGAGACCAAAATAAATTCATGGGCTCCTTGCATACTAACTGAAAGTGACTGGCTGCAATGGAAAATAACATGACTTGTTGACCCCCTTTCAACCTTGACTTGTCTTGGAGAAGCAGTCAAATCCTATTTCTTTTGTTTCTTCCTTGAATGTTGCATTTTTGTAAATGCTTGAACTGTAATAACCTAAACAATTAAAAGGGCTGGAATAGCTCCCAAATTAGGAAAAATCTGACAGTCATATCATTGTTGAAAACATTCAAAAATGTTTAAATGACCAGGGTGAATTAAAAATGGTTTTGTAACAGCAAAGAGGTGCCATTTTCAACATTCCCATTAGAAGTGAACCAGAATGACTGATGTACTGACATATTTTAAAGCAACTGAATGAAAACATGAAGCTCTGTTTATGCTCCCGAAGTCCAAAGACTTTTAAGCACTAATGTTTCAAAACTTTGAACTATTACAAAAATGAGCAAGCAACCAAGGATTGTCTGAGACAATCCTTGAAAGCCAATTCTTTCCCCTGGTTTTCCTCAGAGGCTATGAAAAGTGGCAGAACGAGGGGAAGACTCAAGCTCCCCCATGAGTATCACTGTAGCTAACAAACCAAGAATTGAAACATTTGATAAATATTCAAGTGGTATCAGAGTCAGTTGCAGGTACAGAAACTCAGGAACTTCTTTTAATGTCTCTAGTGAGTTACAGAAAAAGGAAGTCCTGGAAAATTGTATAAGGAAGCCTGGACAATCACCGCAGAAGAAAGAAATCACAAATGAGAATGAAAGTGAGTTGGAACCGAGGTGTGCAGCTGATACGGGTCTCTGAGCTTCACTCCTCTGGGCTCTTTCTCCCCCAGACTCGGGTATTTCAATACAAAAATCGAAGCCACTCAAGGGCTCCCTACTATCCCTGCTGGTAGTAGGTGACTCCGCACTATCCCTGTTAGGAAGTACAGAGAAAGTTTTGTTTCTGCCCAGTGATGGGCCAGTGAGGAAACAGCCATTCATAATTGCAAACACAACCAACTTGCTGTACAGAAATTCCATTCGATGTAGCAGGTAAATTCAAAGTGATCTTGCAACAAATATTAGACATAAGCTAAGTGTGGCAGCACATGCCTGAAATCCCAGCAATTGGGAGGCTAAAGCAGGAAGATCACAAATTCTAGTTCTGCCTGGGCCATTTAGTGAGACCTTGTCTCAAAAAGATGTAATTCAGTCTGATCACCAATACCACAGATTAAAAGAAAGAAAGGAAGAAAAAAAGAAAGAAAGAAACTAGGCATATGGGGCCAGCTAGATAGATGCCTAGTTTCCCTATACATCCATAGGAAAATGATTTCTGAATTATAAAATTCTTTCAAAGAAACTCTCAGAACTCCATTCTGATCTAAGCCAGGGCCTGCCTCTCTAAAGGATGGCCCAGGACGAGACAAAGTGGGACAGATGTCTCAGAGCTGAGAACAGGCACAGAAGGCGCAGTGCTTCCGTTCAGCAACTTGCTTCAGCAAAACTCTGGGAGGCTACAAAACAGCACTGGAGTGTGTTTTCTCTTTTCGTGTTTAAATGGTTAGAAAAAAGTGTACCAGGAGTACATGTCTCCTTAAAATACATTTTGGCAAATGAATGAACATCACAACAGAACTAAAAGCAAAATAAATAAATAAATAAAATAAAATAAAATAAAAATTACAGGGAACTAATGAGGAAGTTTATAGGAAAATGAAAAATGAGAATAGTGAAATATGTTCCTGGTAAACAATATGAAGAATATACAATTATAGACTCAAAGTTTTCATGAAACATTACAACCCATGAAGTTAAGGCATTATTATCTAACAACAAAAATTAACTGGTTTGAAGAAGAGCGGTATGAAAATAATATAGTGATGTTCAAAGTAACTTTCTGTAATGATAGAAACATTTCATATCTCTATACTGTCCATTATGGAATCTGCTAGCCATGTGAATTCTTGAAATATAAAGGCAACTGAGGACACGAATTTTACATGTAATTTAAATAGCCACATGTGACTGGTGGCTACTTACTCAACTGTGCAGTTCCAGTGTCAAAAACCAGTGGTTTCTTATTACTGCTGAGAGACTGAAGGTCAGGTATGCAAACAAAGGAAAGTTCTTAAGAGATTTCTCTGGCCACTTAAGATCTAAAATTCTCTACAGCTTTTGGAGGCAGAGGCTGGCACAACCCACTAGGAAGAGCAAAAGGGAAGGATGCATGGGTAAAACCCAGTACATATGCCCCTCTAGTTCCCAGCTACTGTCAGCAGGAAGATTTTGGCCACTCTGTAAGATGCTTACAATTACACAGAATCAGGTTGTGACCCCCATGGGGCCATCTGTGCATAGAAATCACTACTGTGGGACTGGTGGAGAGGCAGAGATGGTGCTCATTTGCGGATAGGGTTTGCAGAACTTGATGAGGGTTTAGGGGCAGGAGGAGCTGAGGGCCCTTTCTGGCCCCCTGCTGGCTGAACAGGCCCTTTCTTCTTTGGGATTACAGTCTTGTTCTTGGTCTTAAACACTTTGCTTGGATCCAGCTTGTTCATGAAGGAGTCAGTCTCTCCCGTGAGCAGGTCTGTGTTGTAGGTGATGGGCTTAAACAAGCTGAACCACTGCTGTAAGGCAGAATTGAGAGAGAGGGTCAGAATTCAAAGGAAAATTGCCATTCTTAGTCAGGCTATGCAGGGAGAAAGCTGGGGACAACAGAAAAAAGAAAAACAGGTCAAGCATCTCAAATCTGAAACTTTTAAGAGTGTCAACCAAGAAAGTCTATGCATATATTTCAAAATTTGAAAAACTCTGAAATGTAAAACACTTCTACCCAAGCATTTCAGATAAGGGATATTCAATTTGTGTTCATTTTAATGAACAATGTTCTTGAAAACTCTTTAGCTCCTCACTAAGAGGAAGCGATGACAGACCCCATTTATTCTTGGTCTATATATGTGTTTGTGAAGCCTAATGAACTCTAAATTAAATGTGAGATAGTGTGAGAACTAAGAATCTGAGTACACTTCTTTCCGTCTGATCTAATGAGCTGCCAGGGGACAGTGTCCTTCTGACTAGTCCTCAAAGTAGCTATTTTTCTCAGGTGGGTTCTGGCAGCACCCCACTCCCCACCCTTTACCCCAGGAGAGGTACGACAGAGGGCACTGTGTGCTTTCCTAAGGGAAGATGTATATGCTGGTGTTTCTTCCTTACTGGTTTTCCAAATAGCTGAAGGGAAATAACACCCCGATTTATTGACCTTTCTTTTATCATAACCACCTCACAACACTGACCAGGTGGAAGTTATCATTATGTGACCTTTGAGGAAAATGAGGTCTACTCAATGAATACCTAGCAAGGTGGTACCTGAGCTGAGTCCCTAATTTCCTTCTCATTTACTGTTGTAAGAAACTACCATGAAGGAGCTCAGACCAGCTGATTCCTGTCACAAGCACTTCCAGCCCCTTTTTTGTTCTCAAATGAGGATGTGTATCAGTTTTACCTGGTACCTGTTTGAAATGATGCTCAGACTTATAATATAAATGGAGCATATCCATACAGTGGAATACTCTATAGCCATTAGAGAAGACAAAGTATACTACATGGAGTAATTGGGAGACATTCCAAGATACAGCATTGAGTGAAAAGAGCAAGGTAAAGAAAAAATGTGGGTAGCACATTATACTTGTGATTTAGCAAAAGCAAAAAGGGACTCAAAAAATCTGTGTTACATGTAATGAGTATCTCAGCAAGATACACAGACAGGTAACCATGGGTTCCTATGGGAGGACAGGGGAATAAGATGTAGTTTTTATTCTATCTGAATACATGTAATGCCAGTTCAAAAACAATTTATTTAGATCTAAACCTCCATAGCATTTAGTTAGAAATAAAAATCCTCAAGATGACTGATTCTGAGGATCAACAAAGTTTGAGAATCATTTAACTAGATGAATATAAAGCGAAGTTGTCCATGTAATTGGAATCATCTTTGCTTCTTCAAACACATGAGTTCCTGGGCTCTACCCCAGATCTCATAAATCAGACAGAGAAGCTGGGAATTTTCAAAGTAACTATTTCCCCAGCGGATTTTCTTTTCTTTTCTTTACCGGTACCAAGGATCGAACTCACAACCAAACGCTTGCAAGGCAGGCACTTATGCCGCTGAGCTAAATCTCCAACCCCTGTTGTTTTGTTTTTGTTTTCTGAGATAAGATCTTACTATGTAGCTCAGGTTGGCCTTGAACTCACTATGTAGTCGAGGCTAGCCTCAAACTCACAGCAATCCTCCTGCCTCAGCCTCCTGAGTGCTGGCATTATAGATGTGTGCTGCCATGCCTCGCAGAATTTTATGTACGTCGCATTTTGAGATGACAGGTGTTGTCCTCTTACCTTGGCCTGTGGGCTAATACCATAGCTGGTGAAGGCATACTGCCATTGGGGCAGGCCCAGGTGGGTGATAAGCAGGCGATAATAGGCAGTAAAAGTATCTGTGAGGAAATGCCAATATAATGCTCTGTCCAGGAACCAGATTTCAGTGTCTTGTGCTAATGCTACAATAACAAAGGAAATAAATAATAAAGAGATAGTTTAATGTTTTTTCCCTTTAAACTATAAAGTTAACATACACCACTTATGGTGTATGTTAACTTTAGAAAGGCAAATAGTAGGGAAGATGTAAAATATACAAGTTCTCTTTTTTTCTCTTACAATTTCTCAGTGGCTACTTTTGCCAGTTTCTTTGATACTCTTCAACATTCTTGATCATTAGTCACTAGATTTATCACCAGGGCTTCAGCTATCTGGAAACACACTCAGGCTGTCTAAGCAGATGTTCCTTTTCTGAGGGGACTCAGTACCCCTCTGCCCCAGAAAATACTGTGTTTTCAGCTTTTCTGATGACGAGAATCTCTGGCTTATGCTCTCTTGAGTGGCTCAGGTTCTCTTAGCCATCAGAAGTGCTATGAAAACCAACTATGAAGAAACCCAGACAGGCTCACTGCAGGGGATCCTACGTGTGGTCGTGTGATGAGCTGGTTGAACAGATTCAGGCTCTGCTGTACCAGCTCTTCCAACCTTGCATCTTCTGGCCTTCCGTTCTTACCACCTTCAAGCCTATCCGAGTCCATCTGCATCTAGATAACTGTACATCTCCCTAAGTGGCGTCCATCATCTTGTCTCTTCTTTCCCCAGAACTTCTTTTGGTCACAGACATTTTCATCTGAATCCTGCCATTCTCCCAAGCAATCCTGACTGACTGTCCACTGTCTTAAACATTATGCCTCACATACTGCTCTGCGTGAGGGGGAACCGTCTGCCTTTTAGCTTTCCCTCCTTCCTCATCCCACGTAGTCCACTGAACTGAACTGTTACTCCTCCGAGTCAGCTGTACTTTCCCATAACACGGCTCTTATCCTTTTGTCCTTTTGGTTAGATGTCCCCTTTTACCCTCTCCCTCACATCTAATTCCAGTCAGTTCGAGATGCAGCTCACAGGCTATCTGCCATAATTCCTCTACCTAGAGATGATCTTTTCAGCCCCCAAGGGTAAATGCTGTATCTCATACCCCATCAGACAGGGCTTTCTGAAGGGAGCTAGGCCCGCTCTGTATTTTTATAGTTCCCTGGTCCAAACTGCTGTTAGGGGGCCAAGTGGTGGTTGCTGCTCAAGGGCACAGAACCTTAGTAGCCACTATCTGGCCCTTTCCTCTTACTTTGCCAAGTAAAGTCTAGTAATTCAGAATTTATTACCATTAACTGGCCTAGATATAGAAGCTTAAAATAAAGAAAGTATGTTTCTTGGATGCTTATGTCATCCATGAGCCTGCAGAAGTCTATGACAGAATGACCTTTTCTTTCAGGTTTTACTTACCTATGATCTAATCCCATTACTGTTTTGTAGACACTCACATATGAAGAATGCTAGATGTTTGCCTCAAGGGGAATGTTTGGAAATGATCAAAGGTGCTTTCTGGGTCTTCACACATACCAGAAGCCTAGTAGCATCTCAGAAAGCCAAGGAGGTATGTGCTTTTTGTGTGACAACCAACAAGCAAAGCAAGAAGGCTAAACTCAAACTATATGACTTTGTTGGTAAAGGATTCTTACCTGGTTTCCCAGTTTTGTAGACAAGGCAAACCTTTCCATTACCATTGCATGAGTCCAGTTCAAATATTACACTTCGAGAGTCAAAATGAGGCTTCTCTGGCTGGTCCTCACTGGCTACAAACCCAGAAGTTAATGGTAAGGTTTGAATAAGCTCAACTTACACGGAGCTGTACATTTAAAAAAAAGCCAAAAAAAAAAAAAAAAACCAGGAAGAAGTATTCTTTTAGACATATTCTTAAGTATTATTTTTAAAAGAATCATATGCTTTAAATGCCCTAGATCTCACTGATGGATTAGGCCTTCTGTCTGGGTTTTTCCATCATCAATAAACAGGGAATCAATTAGAACTATCACAAGGACATTCCTAAAACCCACAAGAAATTCCTTCGCATCCCACATGTATCTCATGCCTTGTGTGCCTTGTTCATTTTGCACATGGCTTCTGCATCACTGTTTACTGGGATAATCTCTTTAAGACTGAAGAAGTTCATATAAAAACACTTGCCTAGAAATGTCTGTCTCCATTAGTGGGTTAACATCAATTTCGGCAATTACCTTTTGAGATCAATGAACCTTGTTTCTTCGCAGCTTATTCATACTTTTTTTTTGCATTTAAGTTTCCCTTTATCAAAATTCTTGTGGATGTACTTATGATTTGTCATTAACTTGTGCATCCTGTACTGGAATTCTCTGTTATTTATCCCCAAACAAATTTTACTATTCAAATTTTTTATTTTAGGTTGGGAACTGGTTATGATCATTTGTTGTTTGTATGAGTAGATCCATCTGGCTCCATTCTTACTTTTAAACAATGTATCATTATTTCCCTAACCAAGATGGGCACCCAGAATTCTCAGGTGGCCCCCAAGATTATGGCCTCCAAGACTGCTGCACCCTAGTGTACACATCACTCTTCTCTGAGGGCACTTGGGGACCTGTGAACATGATGGGTAGTCCCTTCATTTGGTTACATTAAAAAAAAGTTTATAGCACAAGAAGAAGAAATTTTTAGGGCTTAATGTGAAAGGGTCATGTGACTAGTATCTAAGAGCAGGGCTAAGTGGCTGAAAGTGAATCCTGGCCTAGAGGCAGAGCCCACATTCCTCAACCATAAGGATGAAAATCATACCCAAAGGTTGTTGACACAAGAAGCCAGAGGAATCCTGACTTTCTCAGGCAACTACACCAGCTAGTTCCAGATTTCTTGCTATAAGAAAAAATACACTGTTATTTAGACACTGTAATCGGGTGTTATGATTTATATAGGTATTCCCCAAGAGCCTCGTAGGCAAAATTCTTGGAAGATAGCTGGATCAGAGGGGTTTATTTACTGGGCAACATGGCAATTAACAGCATCTCAAAATTAACTGAGCTCATCCAGTCTCAGAAAAAGTGGGTCACGAGGGGTCATGGCCTAGAATAGTTTTTCTGTTTCCCTGGTTCCTTTCTTCACTCTCTGCTTCCTACCTGCCATGCCATAAGCAGCTCTCCTCTATCATGCCATCCTGCCTTGAAGCCAACGCTATGGACTAAAATGTAAGCCAGATAAACCTTCCTTAAATTGTGGATTTTGGGTATTTTGCTTCAGCGATGAGAAAGTAACTTAAGACAAAGGTTTGTTATAAGATATCCTGACCGAAGAAGCCCTCACTTACACCCTGTTATTCATAGGCTTTAGCAACTATTTGACCTATGAGCCATTTCACTCAGAAGTGGCAAAGAACTTGGAGATGGAAATGGAGAGGAAAAGAACTATATTTAGAGTGCCATATTCCCTGAGTTCTCTTGAGATTGAAGTCTTGAGAAAAACTTATAATATTCATTCACTCATCAAGTTCTCTTTAATTACCTACTATGTTTTCTAAGCACTGAATTGGGTGCAGAAAACAAAGTACCAACTCTGGCATTGTCTTCATGAAATTTCTTTTTTTGATACAGGGTGTTTTAAAATTTTATTTATTTTTCTCTCCTAAATCCTGAGCTCCTAAGAAATTATGAATCAGAAGGGTTTTAGTTTGGTAAAACATACTAACAAGCAGGCTGATTCTAATCCAAAGCAGAAGTTCCGCCAGGTACCTTCATATGTATCGTCCTCCAGGTCTGCCAGAGTCGGTGCGCTAGGAAGTGAATACACAGAAGACTGGTTGAGCTCAGTTAGTTTTGAGATGCTGTTAATTGCCATGTTGCCCAGTGGAATGATGTGCTCTGTGGGAACATCAAAAAGAAGAATGACACAAAATATCAGCCTATTTACAATGCTCATCAAAAGGTTTCTCCTTCAATATTCCAAGTAGAACTATTGTTTAGTCCCACGGCTGAGGCATCTGCTGGAAGGTACAAGACAAAGATCACTCACTACATGTCCCAGACGCCAGCTTTTAATGCAGGACAAAAAAGAAAAAGAAAATGACCTTGGGGTCCTAGATGATGAATAATACCTACTATATCATTTGGGTGCAGATGAAGAAAAACTTGCAAGAGACACTCAAAGTAAGTTGGAAAGCCCAGATTTAGGAAACTTAAAAGTAAATTATGTAATAATAGTTTTACTCTCTCTTCCAATATTATGTAAAAAGAATTACACTTTCTAAAGGAGTAAAAGCCTTGATTATTTAATAGGCCCTTTCTCTCCTTACAAGCTTTCAAGACAGAAAATTTCCCTCTTTGTATTTGTCATTTACCCTTACTCAATGGAATGAACATGACAGTCTTCTTGCCTGTTCAGTCTTCTGATTAGGGTGTAAATAATGAATGGGGAGACTGCATGTTTTCCTCATCTGTTAAATAAGGCCCCTGTTATATAGGATGCTGGACACAAGGTGGCACACATGGATTTAGAAATATAACTTCTGAAAAAAATGGGAATGGTTGAAGGCAATGAAACAGGTGTTGTATAGAACAGGGACAGTACAAGAAAAAAAAATGTCACTAAACATCAGAAGCTGCCTCTTCTACTGACTTAAACTATTCAGTAAAGAATGTGTATGGTAATGGGAATAAAAAGACCAGGATGGGGATAATTAAATTACCAAAGATACTGCAACATGAAAAAGGCTCATTTATAAAATATTCATAAAAATCTCTTCTCTAGGACATACTTGGTGCTGATCTGTCCCCATGATGTAGGCAATAGAGTTTATAAGTCTTGTCTTTGTTCCCTGTTTGTCACTCCAGATTCCCAAGGCCAGGTCCATGCTCTGAAGAGGGCACTGATGCTGGTGATAAATAGACTACTGAAGGAATCGAGTCTAAGCTAGAAGCTAATGTTAAATATTCACTAATAAATTATAGAAACTACTTCTGTGCAGGCAGATAAGAAGGCTTTGGGACTCACCAAAGCAAACAAACAAACAAACTCAAGATATACAGGAAGAGGACAGTGGCAATGAGGAAACTAACCAGCTAAGTAGGTCTGCTATGCAACAGAAGTTAATTCTGCCTCAGAATTGTGGGTGTTTTGTCTGTGGGATGAGGTTGGAGATGGAAACAATAAAGGCCAACAAAAGTGGGGCTGGCAAGTCTATGCCAGGAATGGGCTGGACTCCTGTGGCTAGGTCAGGATTTCCTGGCTTATGAGCTTTTACATAAATCTTCACCTAAATGCAATGCTGCCTTTCATGTCGACATAGTGTCTACAATCTCTGTCCAAAGTCCTGAGTTCCTACATCTGCAAATGTCTTGGCTTTAGAACACTAAAAGCTAAGATGACAGCCTAAAAACCGAAGTGGTTGGTGACTCATGCTGAGGTGATATAAAGGAGAGAAGGAAAGGCTGTGTTTTGAGGTGACAGCCCTGAAGTATCCACAATGATAAGAAAAGGGAAGGAGCCTGGATGACATGGGCAGCTGTTTCCAGAAATACTGGAGGCTGGTGTGGTAGCTGACCCTGGGAAAACTAGTTTGGGACGGAGTACTCCGCAAATTTGTGTTTGAGTTTGTTGGGTTCTTTGTGGTTAACAAGAAGCCTCTAAACCGAGCTTCCTGATTAGGAAGACACTGGAAGAGGGTGGTGATAGGTGAAGCTCTGATGGTACTGGTTAGCTTTGGGAGAAAATTAAAACTTTTGGATGTGGCATTTTATGAACACTGACAAAAACTGTCCAGATTCAAAAATTCTAAAATTGTAAGGCTCTCTGAGTCAAGCCATCCAAACTGTCCATCAGTGGAATGTTCCCCAACAGCAAGGAAACCAACTCACCATCTAGCTTCACACTCCAGGTCATGTGGAAGCCGTTGGTCATCAGGTAAAAGTTCTTCATATCCTCAGGCATCATACAGTCATTTTTCTAGAATTACAAAGCAATGGAGTGTGTTAGATGAGGACTGGGAAAAAGGGAGTAGGGCTACACTCAAAGCATGGGGACTCTGTTTACCATGATTCAGATTCCTAAAACAGAATGACTGATAAGTATCTATCAACTTCATTAGATAGGTGGTGAGGTCTATGAGCAGACTCACCAGCCTGACATTTTTTTCTTCCTCATTAGATAAAGCAGACTAGGTATCTGCTTTGCCATGATTTATGTCCTGGTGACTAGCTGGGGTGTCTGGGGGGGTGGGGGGAGAGGGTGGGAGGGAAGAGCTCAGAGCAAGCTGAGAGGAAATAACAGAATGTGATGAGAGACAAGGTCTAACAATGTTAGAACAAAATGATCATTGTCATAAATTTCAGATCTATCTGTATATACTGATTCCTGAAATAAATTACCTGACAAATGGTAATATTTTAAGAGTGAAGAATATATTTTCAAGGCATTTAGTGCAACAACATTCTAATATTTCTGACATTTCTTAGAAAATTGTGGTTGTATACAAATATTTTATATGGATAAGAAATCCTCCAAACTGGTACAGACAAAGGAATAGCTCGGTATCCTATTAGGAAGTACAAGGAGTAAGCCTTAGGTACTAAATAATTCGTATCTGTGCACGGGCCTCACCAGTCTTCTCTAGCCAATTTAAATCACTGAGTATACAGAAAGATGAGTTGTTTAACTCCTTCTAGAGTACTCTAGAGTGTCTTCTTGATATGGTTATAAAGGCAAACAGGCAATATGTTAGTAACTCGGTCCAAACTTTTATTGGTCTCTCTACAATCTAATACTAACCACTGTGTATGTCAGGTTTATTTTAAGTCTTCCCATCACTGAGTTCGAAGGACCCAATGCGTGGGCAAATATTACATAGCAAGACAATCTGAGTTCACGTCTTAATTTCTGCTACTAGCTAAGTGACTTTGAATATATCACTTAAATTGTACTGGTCTAGGTTCAAGAATAAATTCTAAAATGGAATCTACAAAACACTGGTGGTGGGAAGCATTTAAGCTTGACAGGAAGATAAGAGGACTAGGCAGTTATTATTTGGAGTCATAACATCTTCAAGTTCTACAGGTGAGAAGAAAAGCTGGTAGGTCATTTTAAGCAGTGTTTTAGCTTAGTTAGACAAGAGCTGTCATTTTAATGAATCAAGTTTTTAAGGTTCTTTAAGAACTAGAATATGGGGCCAGGGACATAGCTCAGTGGCATAAGTTCCAGCCTGGCAAGCTCAAGGTTCTGAGTTTGATTTCTGGTACCAAAACCAAAATAAAAAACAAAACAAAAACGAAAACAGGAAAACCTAGAATATGATGTTTATTAGTTTTTATATTTTCTCTTGTTACCACCTAGTTACCAAAACAGGAAAACCTAGAATATGATGCTTATCAGTTTTTATGTTTTCACTTATTACCCCCTAGTTACCAATCTCAAAGATATGAAATGTAAAGCACTGGATTCTCAGATTTTTTGGGTTAATTTATTTTCCCTCTAAGTTACAGCACTGTATTTGGAATTTAGATCTTGCTTCCTGTATGCTCTATTCTCTGTGGTTCCAAAGAGCAAAACTGCATTCAGAATGCCTCTCCATCCCCAGGAGCCTAGGCACAGGAAATCCACAGTTAACAGTGTTCTGATAGAATTCTTTCCTTCTGTAGCTCCCAAAGCCAGTATCCAAAGATTTTGATCAGTAGTGCCACCTTGTGGTACATACAAGGAAAATGCTGTGTATCAGCCTGGGGATTTTTTGTTTGTTTTTGGGTACTGAGGATTGGACTTTACACTAAGCTATATGTGTTCTGCAGCCATTTTCATGTTTTTTTAAAAAAAAATAAAAAAAAAACAGAATAAATGATGCAGAATTTTAAAAAACAAAATTAACACTAGTTAATATACTGCATATTTTTATCTTAGAAGGCCTTTTTCATTTTGAGACAGGACATGGCTAAATTGCTCAGGCTGGGGTTGAATTTGTGATGTCTGTTGAGTGTTCATTGTGCTACCATGCCCACCTATTCTTAATGAATATTCAAAGAAATTCAGCAGAGAAAGGCTGGTAGATTGCTTGAAATTGTTTGTTTTTAAGTTAGGCTAAGAATTCCAGTAGTAGTAATATTTTTTGTTATGGTATTTTATCCAAGAAGTTTTAACATTTTATATCATTGTTTTTTAAAAAATTCAAAATTCATAAAAACATGAAAAGTCAGTGAAATTATATAATACATTTTAAATATTAATATAAATTGTCAGGTTAGCCAAATCCATGAAAAATATTAAGTCTACACTGTCCTAATATATATGAATGGTGGTTCCTAGCCCTGCTGCTTCTTTGTTGAATGTTTAATTTTTTTGAGTGAGTCTTCCAGGGAACTATAGTGCCTTTGCCCTAGCCAGAGACTCAGTTACTAGCATTTTAATTTCTCTCTTTGTCAATATGGAGAGTCCACTGTTCCCCAGGAGCAATCAACCCATTTTAAGGGTTTCTCTCCACACCTGAGTTTAATCTTTTCTTCTTTTGGAGGGGGGAGGGGGACAGATAAAAAGAGAGAAGGAAGACTGGCAGAAAGTGACTGGAAGACAGGCATATCAAGATTGGAGGGAGAATTTAGAAAGAAGGTCAAGAACATAGGTCAGCGCTGATTAGTCTGTAAGGTAACAGCTGACTACACCTGCAACCTACTGCTGTATCTATCTGTATGGTGATGATGACTCTGTCACATGGCTCCCGATTTTCTCTACTTTTTTCTCCTCCTATGGAGGCTAAGTACAGTAGTTTCTTTAAGCTACTCTATAAAGAATCCAACACAAATCTTGTTACCACTTCATTAGTTTTGGGAATCAACTTGATTCCCGGAAAGCCTTCATGAGAACTGATGCTCCTCAACAGAAAAGCTGCCCACTGCCTCTTGCTCGCTTTCTCTACTTATGAACAATTCTGTGCGGACTGTTCCCTCCACTTTTAGAGGCCACCTTGTCTTGGAATGGAGTGAAGTAGCAGATGCAGGATTAAATCAGAGAGGTGTGGGAGGATGGAAATTAATGTTTCTACAAGTGCCTATCCTTTTTGAGCAGGCTATGTGTGCATCTGTTTGCAACAACAGCCAGAGGAAGCCAACCAAGGAGGAGCACAAATATTCCTGGAAATATGAGGCAATAAGACAACACATCTACTTAAATTCTTCTTGGAGGGGACATTTCATGGAACAGAAAGAAAATTTGGGCTGTGAAGGAATAGTGTGAGATCCCCGTAGAATTCTCAAAGTCCCTTCAAAGATGGGGGAGTGAGGAATTAGCTTACTGAGTCAAGCTCTTATAAGAGTTCTGGGCCAGTACTTAACAGGTCAGTATTTAAAGAAGCAGCAGAATAATTTGCTCCAAATATTTCTCTAAACAACCATCAGTCTCTCTAAAAATAGATAAAAAATTTATAAATTTTGCCTCTGTCTGGGGATACCATATGTTTTGGTGAAGAAAGTATGTAACAAACTCAACCAAAACAACCTTTAGAATAGTCAGGCCCTGAACTAGCCAAATCGTGTTTTACGTTCTTGTTAAAAGGAGACAGAGCTGGAGACATCCCTTTATGTTTTTTTTACTATCTTGTGCTTGGAGGTGACAGGTGGGACCCTGAGTCAACTGGTCATCAAAAAGGAAAATGACAAAACCATAGGAACAATGGCGAAACATTATCATGGCTGATGAATCAACTAATTGTCTACCACAGGATCTGTTACAAGACAAATACTAATTCCTATTTGTTTAAGCTATTGTTAAATCAACATTACACTTTCTTGAATCAAATTCATTCCTAATTTATACAGAGACAAATGTGTAAGAGGTAAGTATAGTGGAACTATGAGGGGCAAAGAGAATTACGAAGAACAGTCTGAAAAAGATGGTGCTTTAGAATCCAAGGGAAAAGATTTATGAGCAGACAAGGTAGCTTTCACTAGGTACCTGGCACATTTCCTTCCACAACAAACAACAACAAAACAGCTCTGAGGGGTGATCATAAAGTTAAGTGAATATTTAAATTGATTTTTTTATTATAGTAGAAGACACATTGCTATTAATTTCTCTTAAAATACCCACCCCTCCCATTACTCTGAACAGTTTCCTATCATACTTGCCACTTTCTGAAACAGTTCTAGAAATCACAGTTGTATAGTCATGGCCACCTTGATGGTCTAAATCAATTCAAATTGGTTACCTTTCATTGTCATTTACTTTGGGGGAAGAGCCAGGAGTTACACGTTACTAGATTTGGTGAATAAGGAACACACTGTCATGTTTCTATGAGGTTACCTTTCCATTGGATACCATTCAGTGGCAGTATTTACTGTATTTTTGGATTATATTTTATAAAAACACTCACAAAAAGAGTACCCCCATAACTGCATCAGAAAATGGCCAGAATGGTGGGAAAGTGTTCAAAGTGAGGAGGAATCTTTTGAGGAGCATTAATGACAATCTGTCTTTTACTGTAATAATTTTTTTAAACACACACCATTTTTGTTGATCAAACCTTGTATTTCACTGCAGTATTCGAGAGTGTGCTGGAGTCTAGTGTAGGTGTGGCAGAGACATGAACACAGGGATACATCACAACCTTACCATTTTTCCTCCTTCCCCTCCCTGCTCTTCTTCTGGATCTTGCTATGTAATTCAGGCTGGCCTTGAACTTACTATGTAGCCCAGCCTGGCTTTGAATTCATGGCAATCCTACCTTAGCCTCCAGAGTGCTGGGATTACAGGTGTGTACCACCATACCTGGCTCATCACAGCCTTATTAAAAAAAAAAAAAAAAGAATCAAATATACAACATCTACCGTTTTGCCTCTCTAGTGCAATCCTGAATCAAGAGGGACTTTGCAAGAGGGGGAAAAATAATCAGGATGCTCCTGCCAATTCTCATGCCACTTGAAACATTTGTTGCTCAAGGATTCTATGACCCTGATGGGTCCCAAGCC